AAAAATGCATAAGCCTTTATTACTTAGTGGTGAGTACTCATTGCATTATTGATTATAGTTGTTAGTCATGTTTCCTTGATAAGATTTTCTCCTGGACTATATAACTATCAGTTAAAATAGTTAATATGGCTCCATATAAATTAAAACAGGGCCTTCGAGGGTTAAATCCCTTATATAAGAACTATGGAGAAAAAGGGTAATTATCTCTAGTGCTTGCCTATCTAATAGTTCAATTTGGCCATAAATCTAATACCACTGAATAGCACCTCATGGTAGACTATCACAACCTTCATGCTGTGGTTTCATCTATTTGGGCCCACATACTCAATATTTTTTAAAATTACTGATTGATCCAATGAGCAACTGACAAACCTTGCAGTCATCACTTTTGGCTAATATGATCTGCTCAGTGTCTATTTCAACAGCCTCTCCGCCACCTGTATTTTACCTTCACAGGAACACAATACAACTTTACCTGGTTATCCATAAGGTATCTCAACAGCCTCACCATCACACACAATCTTTACAAGCAGGATTTTAACATCCTCCTCCAAGGACATTCATTTGTCACACTCATTCAGGACACACAAGCCTTCAGAAAGGAGTTGGGAAGAAGGAATGGACCATTGCTGTACATAAAGTACAAGGTCATGTCACCTCAGTAAAATTTCTTGGCGTTATTTGCTTAGTCAAGGGGCAGTCCATTCCCGAGGCTGTCAAAAAGCAGCTATTGACCCTCTCAGCACCATCAGCATTATAATAACCCCAGCATCTTTTAGGACTTTTGGATTCTGGAGGGAACCTATTTCTTACTTATACATTTCACTTAAGCCCATTTATGTTGTTACTTGTAAATTAGCCGACGCTGAAGGGTGGTCCATACAACAAAAAAACTTTGGAATCTGACCAAATTGTAATACAACAGTGTCCTCTAGAGACACCTACATTGTGGAGATTTTAGCAACATCCTCTTATGCCTCTGGAAGCTCTGGATCACCCATGCTTGCCAAAAGCTGCCCCTGCGCTTCCAGTGCAAGAAACACTCTTCCTCACCATTAAGAGTTGAAATTGTTGTCTGCATCCTGGGCTTTCCTGAAACAGCTCTCACAGGCCCTGCGTTCACAACCCACTGTACCCAGTTGCCTGTTAAGCGCTGGGTCATGGGACAAGCATCTTGCAACTCATAATAGCCACTGAGGCCTCTGAGCTAAACCAGAACTGTTACCTGCAGGAGAGAGCTAAACTAGGGCCCTCTGTTGGTCACACATACAAGAGGGTGACCACCTTTGTCCTTAGTCCCTTGCCAGATGCCAGTGCTGGAGGAGATCACCCCTTTTCCAGATGACTTGACTACATGGGGAGCCTCTTGGAAGAAGTTGAGTGAACTGCAGCAGAATCTGTAGGTTTTACAGGTGGTATAGCCCCCTTCACATGTGGAGGAGTTTGCTGGAGGACTGCCGCTTTTTATCCCTCAGCTGGGATGCCCCTCATAAAGAGTGGACACCAAGGATTAGCACAATGATTGAACTTCATGCAGCCATCTTGGCATTGGATGCCCTGGCTATTGTCTAAAAGTTCATAACAATCATAGGATAATTTGTTTATAGAGAAGTATACTGGCTGATTCTTGTATAGTTCTTTCTTGGAAATGTAAGATTGTGGTTCAAAATGTCTTGATTATCTACTTCATCTTTTATGGATGCAGTATGTTTTCACACAAGGTAATCACAGGTGCTATTAAAATGAGAATATTATCCATGACAAATGAAATATAGGTTAGGTAAAAATTACATGCGGAAATGTGTTTTTAAAAAATTATTATACTTAAAATTAATAATGTCATTGCTAATTTTACATGAAAAAGGTCATGTTGTATAATGATAATTAGAGTGATTAAGAGTAAATGTGATGTTTGCTTAGGTGATTTTCCTGGAGTATAGTCTTATTGGAAAACTAAATTTCAGATATCCAATAATCACTGAAGAACAATGGAAATGAGACTTTCTGACTTGTTTGTAGTTTAGCATTTGCCTTTTGCCAAATTAAAATAAATATAAACTGCAAAGTGAAAATAACTGCTTTTCCTGGGGTTTGCTTTGAGAGTACAGTATGATACAGAAGCATTGCTTGGCTCTCATTATTTAGGCTCTAGCAGAGAACCAGATGAAAATTTTAGTGAGGCAATACCTGGGCGATTTCTGCCCAGGGGCACTTTGGCTCCTTCAGGGATGGTTCCCCTGGCACGCTGTAAACCACCAATAGAAAAAAATGGATGTGTTTCACAGTAGCAAATCTTTTCCTTTTTTGTCATATGTAGGAAGTTGGACAGAAGGGATTCGTTGCTTTGTGTACTGTTACACGTTCAAATCCATGTGAATATATTAGAGTAAAAGGAGAAAACGGAACAGAAATCCTTAATCTCCTCCACCCGTGAAATAATTTCTTTTGCATTTAAGTAAAGTTTCCCTTTAAGTTCTACCAGAGCCTTCCATATGGATTTGTCTGGTTCTCTAATCAGACTTATCTGTTCCACTGCAGATCACTTTTGTGGCCATACTTGTTTTATATCTAACTACAGCCATTCGGATGAGTCATCCTTCTTACATTTATGTATCTTCTTGTTTTCTAAAGAACTCGAGGAGCTTCCATTTGCTATTGATTCTCTCATGGCTGATAAACTATTTTAAATTCCTAGTCATCTTTCTCTTCAGAATTCATTATAACATAATAGAATTTTTTTTTTTTTTTTTTTTTCCCCAAACACTCTTTTTCTAGCTTGAGGCTTATATAACTTTGGGTTGAACATTTTCATATTTCTTTTTCTTAGCTAAATTGATTTCCTGCGGTGACTCCATATAAGAGGCTTATGTTTTGCAATCTTGAAGCAAGGTTTAAGTGAAAAAAGGAAATTATGGTATTTCAGGCATCATTGATTTCTATTCTCCCAAGCAATTATAATTTTTAAACATAAGGAAGTTCTCATAAAACACCAACTTAATTTTTTTAAGTTTTAAATAAGTTATTTTGTGATATGGAGTTTTAGAAACATTTAGTGGGCAAAAGTGGGGTGGAGGGGGTCAATGGGGTGGGGGAAGGAAGGACATCTGTAATACTTTCAGCATTAAAGATAAATAAAATTTAAAAATAAAAACAAAGTGGCATGGACACTTGGAAAAACAAAAAATATAACTGAAATAAAAATAAATTGTGTGATCTTTTGAGATATATATAACTTTATATTTTAAAATCTTTTAAAAAAATTCGAGATGGGTAAGTGTATGATTTGAGAATTTCTCTGGAATCTTATTTTATTTTAAAATCTCCCATACCATATAAAATAATTTAATACAATAATATGTCTGTCAAGCAGATTTATTTACACATAACTAATAGTAATTTCTATGTCAGTGCTCAATTATTTGTAAGTAAAATATTTGAAAACTTTGGGAATCGAGAATGTTTTATAGCTTTCAGATATGAAGTTAGCAATATAAAAACCCTACATACATGTTCAAATAAATTGTAGAATGAAGCTAAAATTTTGTAGAAATGCAACCTTTCTGATCTACGTAGTATTTGTGGTTGTGATTAATGTGAAGTCGGCTCTGTCTCCAGAACACAGTCACTGACAAACCCACATGAACATATTAGGGATCATAGATGATAGTCCTTAAATCTCTGAAGAATTTCCTGCTCTGGTTTCTGAATATTCAAGTCTGAGGTTATCATCCAATTTTCTGTGCTCCCTCTTCTTTTTAATTCAAAACATCTTCTTTCCCTTATCTTTTCCTTTTGGCACATATTCTGTCTTTGAAAATGCCCATTATCTTTAATTCTATGTAAGGAGAAACATGAGAATTATAGCTTACTAGCTGCCCTTGGGAATTTTCCCATGTAAGTAGAAGAAAAAACATTTATGAGATTGTGTACCAATGGGCACGATATAACTGTATGTTGATTATAAGGGTAGAGATGAACTTAGTTTATATAGGAAATGTGTTTCATAAGTGCTCTATTTTCTCTCTCTTTTTCTCTGACCTAACTATAGTTTTATTATTTTCTTCTTTATATATCTGAATGGTGGTTGTGACTATCTAGGCTTTAAATATAGGTTATAATGTGTGTGTGTGTGTGTGTGTGGT